CCGGTTCTGTATTTTATTTATTAATGCATTTTTAATAATATATGGTTAATAAGGATCTATTTTAAGCTTACAAACAAATAACTTTTAGTTTTTAATTAATTAATATAGTACAGAAAAAGTAATCTAAATTTACAAATGCATGTACTGTAAATAAAGTAAAGTACATACTTGTAAATGTATATATTTTAATATGATTTTATGTGCTTTAAACGCTTTTCTAGTGATATTACGACTTCAATATTTGTGGCGGACAGACGTAAAGTCGAATAAAATGACTTAAACTTGATTATTATTTTTCCATATACTTTTTTGACAAACGACGTATAATCGGGAACGATGTAACTCGAAACGACGTAAGTCGAGGTATACCTGTATTAGTCAAAAAGTCAGAATTTGATAACTTTTCATTATGATATTTATCTGTATGCAATATTTATTTGTTCAAGAATAAAATAATAATTAATTATTAATAAATATGCCAGTTTATTAATATTTTATGAGTCTATAAATGAGAATAGAAAAATTATATAATTATTAGTTTCACTCAGTATGGTTCATTTCATGGAAACATTAGGAACATACTATTATATCTATAGTTAAAATGATGATGGACCTACAATGCAATTGGGTACATTAATTTGGAACTTTTATCTTTCAGAAATATGACTACATTTCAATCTAGTCAGAAATTCAAAATTTTATATATATGATCTAAAAGAAACTCAACATTATTAAAAGTAATGTGTGTATTTAATAAAAAATAATTACATTTTATTTTTAAAAAATGTAATTTTCTGAAATATTTAAATCATAATTAGCTCAATTACCTATTATTTTCACCAGAAGAAATAGCATTGTTCTGTGTCGAAATCTGTTCCTCAAACTGAGAATCGCTAACATTATTTCCGTCGGCAGAGCACAGCCGAGGACCGTCATCTCCATCGGGAAGCAAACAATCGTCTCTTTCCGAAGACTCTATTTTATCGCCAGTTAAATCCGGAGAAGGTTCGGCATCGATCAGCGATTTTGTAGATTGGTCGCAAAGAACATTAGACAAACTACTCTGCGAAGAAACGTTATCGGATCTTAATTTAAGATAAGGGCAAGTTTTCTGTTTATGTAGAAGAAAATTTTCAATTTCACCAAACTGAACTTTGCACGCCCCACAAATATGTATATCTTCTGCAAAGTTTACAGATAAAGCTGAAAATAAATTAAAATTGTAATTATTTCAAAATATTTATCATATTTATATTGTAAATTAACACACACAACATCAATATTAACTCACTACCATTTCAAGAAAGCTTTTTATTTACTATAACGAAGACATTATTTAATGTAACTATAATAAAGGGTTTCCTTGTAACACACTAGGAGCATTTACGTTTTGAACCTAATTATAACTCAGATTCATGTTTTGTTCAACATAAACTCGCGGGAAAAAATATATATCATCATCGATCCACACGAGCACGTGTTTCTAGATTCGAAAGCATTTAGAAAAATATTGAAAACTCACGTGTTAATAATTAATCTAACGTAATACACATTTCGGTCCGGAATGATAGGAAGTCGGGGCCATGGAACAATTGATAACAATATGGCGGCCCCAGACCATGTAGTTTTAAAAGTCGAATAAAAGCACGACATTTATATCGAATCTTTAAACAAATTTAATTACACGACAAACAATGAACTCACCTATATTTGAGTTTTGCATAGTTATACATCCGCTAATGTAAGCGGGAGAGAAAATAACCAGCCTCGACGTTACTTATACACATGCCAAGATTAGCAGCCATTTTTAACCGGTGTGCACTTTACACTTTTCCGTCTTTCTTCCGATGACCAGCCCCGTATCTTGATTTATTCCTCTTTTCTCTTCGTTTACTTCGTTTCTTCCTCTCCAGAAAGTAACTATCTAATGTATTTTAATTTCCTTCAGCTAACTGGTGTTTACATTTTACATTATAACTCGAAAAATTTTAAAAATATATTATATTTAAATGTATAATAATTAATAAATACGGTAAAAATTATAGGCGGTACTTTGTTTAATTTTTGTTAAATAGTTTTTTAATCATTTATAGTTGACACTGCTTTATGCGTGACGTCTGTCGTGACGTACAGTACTAGCCACGTGACGTAAAAATATTTTATTTTTTTTCCTATTTTTACACGAAGCTTTTTTTGTAATTAATTAATTATTTATTTTTAAATAAGTAAAGCGTATTTTATAACTTTAAATTAAGAAATATATGTGTATAATACGCTAAAATTTATATACTTTTAAAATAAATTTCAAATTATTATTTAATTTTGATTTTTTTTTATTTCTTAATATATTATAAAAATGCATATAGAAAATATTGAAAAGATAAAAGTTCAAATAACTTTTTATTTATAAAAAAACATTCTATGCATATAGTTTGTTAAAAAAAAAAAAAAAAAAAAAAAAAGGAAAAGGAAAAGGAGACTCGCTCTACCTCCGGGCCTCATACAAGCTCTGGACGGCCCTGTATATTATTATGTGAAACTATAAAATAAAAAATAATTATAAAATTAGAGTACAATCAGTCCAAATTAAGAAAAATAAGTTATTGAATTGCTTTATTTATTTTTAAAAGTGATATTAGCAGTTAACTAACATTTTCTCTTATTTTATTAATTTTATTTTCCCAATTTTTATAATTGTGAAAATAAACTTAAAAAAAGAAGGAAAACCTTTAAAAATAATTATTTTTATAAATAAGTATCTTTATAATTTATATTGAATATATATTTTTAAAATAAATATCTTTATGATTTGTATTTTTAAATACAGTACTTTTTATATGTTATAATTGTCGATGAAATTAATGGATCTTCTATACTTTATTCTGTTGTAAACTTGACTTTAAAAAAAATCAAGAAATAATAAAATATAAATTTCTCTTTTTAATTAATGTAATTTCCTCATACAACACTCAACAAGAAGAAATTTTTCTTAAAAAAAAATTAAAATTGCATTATAAATTCATCATTTCCTACACTTTGGGGAAAATGTAACTTTTATAATTTATTCACATCTTCTTTTTCACTTTTTTTTCTTTTTTATTTAAAGAATAATTTTTTAAATTGTAGTCATATAATTTTCATTTCTTAAATTTAAAAGAAACTCAAACTGAATTAAGTATAAAAGTACAGAACCCGATTTGCGCATAAGTTAAATAAGCTGCAGCTTAGAGCCACAAGTCTATAGATTTCTGGATTCGCCATTGACTGAGTACAGTGTACTCAGTCAATGGCGAATCCAGAAATCTTTACAGGGGCTGCAGGAAAAAGCAATATATACATTATAAACTTTTTATTACCTGAGGTACTGTACTTGGTTTTGTTCGGGAAAACCCCTCAGAAGGGGGTGCACACCATTCTTTGAATACAATATATAATTATTTATACGGGTAATAATTTTTAATGTGCCTAATTTCACACACGCACATATTAAATATAATATTTATAAATATTTATTTAAATTATAAAGATTAAAAAAAATTCTTTAATACTAAACCAAAAATGTTTCAATCCATTATAACTAAATTTCAAATTTTCATTTTGTTTTTCTTTTATAACAGAAAGACATTAATAAGAAAACAGTAAAAACTAAATTATAAGATTACAACTTTATATTATACTCACTAAGTCAGACTAACAGTCAAAATTTAAACGGAAGGAAACATGGAATTACTACAGAGAATAATCACTTGAACTGACTCCTATAATTTTTACGATAATATGATAATATTTATCTTAAGTCGTTCTTCCTTATTTTAAAATATAATTTTCTTCTACGCTTTTAAAATTATTTAACTCTAAATACATGGAAGTTCTTATATAGGCTATAAACATTGATATATTAAATTCATTTTAAAAATATTTAAAACAATGCTTTTAATAAAAATGAAAAATGCAAACTATAAATTGAGCCAAATGTATAATTTTTTAAACAAATTTGGCTGTTTCAATTCTGAAAAATTCATTATCGAATCTTATTCAGTGATAAAAATAATAAATCGACTTTAATACGAGTTATTATACTTTACTATTAAAAAAACTTTACAATATTTTATAAATTAAACACATAATTATTAACGTAAAGTTATGTCAATGAATTGTTTACTGAATATTAAAATATTTCCAATAAAAGGATTGTCATTAAAACATAATGTAGAATTATTTTAAATATTTTTCATAAGATATCCGTTAACAAATATGATTGTATTGATCATGGAATCTGTCAAACGAGCTCTCTTTTCAACTATTGGATTTCCAGGTGCATTAAATATCCTATCACATGGAATATTTGTAGCAGTCACACACAAATAACGTCTAGCCAATTTAGCCAAATTTGGGTAAATGTGTTGATGGATTTTCCACCAATCTAGAGGTTCTTCGTCCGTTTTTCTTTCATTTTTATAAAGATCAACTTCTTTTACTGTTTCTGTTAAGAAAGAATCATTTTCGTCGTCGCTATCATCAAGAAAACGTCTTTTTTTCTTAGGAGGTTGAACAACAAAATCATTCGCCGATTCTTCAATATTTTCCAATTTAATATTTGAATTATCAAATTCTAATTGAAGTTCCACCCATGTGTGATCTCCTTTTTCCATTGGTAAAAATTTTAATGCTTTGAATCGCGGATCAAGCGCTGAAGTTTTGATTAATGTCGAATTTTTCGTCCACTGTTTAAACATAAGTTCCGTCGATAAACTTTGTTTCAAATCTTTAATATAATCAGGATCGTCGCTTTGAGAACATAACGATTTCATAACATTTCGCAAGATAGGGAGAACAACAGATGCACAAACATAGTTTTGATCACCAAGGTATGTAACTGCTTCCGCCATTATTTCCAAAACAGAAATGATGTATTCAATTTTTATCATGTCTGTATCGTTAAGTACTAAATTTTTTGTTTTGAAATTCGCCGAGACAATGAGATTTATTACATTTTTATTTAATTTCAAAAATTTTAACATATCTAAGATCGAATGCCAACGTCTCGCAACGTTTTGAATTTTCAATAAATCAACGATGGCAGATTCCAGTTTAATTCGAGCTTCCGCATTAAATATAAAATATTCTATTATCATCTTTCCTTTACCTATTAAATCGGCAACAGGTTTTATTCCATTTAAAACATTTAAAATAGCTTGTTGCAAACTGTGACCGCAACAGTTTATATATGGAGATGGCAATAAGTTGACAGCTTCGGTTACTTTTGAAGATTTTTCCACAACATACGCTACAACTTTTCCAACTAATCCCCATTCTTCTTCGAATTGTTGTAGAGTGTTGGTAATATTTTCTGCCGTATATTTATCCACCAATTCTTTAGCTCCGATATTAATCGATTGCATCTTCCATTGAGAATCTATAAAATGACAAGTCACTTCCAAATAACTTCTCATCGATACCGACTCCCAACAATCGATAGTCAAACATACGTGATCTACTAATTTCAACGTTTCTAAAATAGCCTTTCTTTGTTCTTCGGCCATAGATATTAAATTTTCAAAAATCATATTTTCATTGGGTATAGTATATTCGGGTGCAGCCATCTCTAACATTTCTCTAAAGCCTTTACCGTTTATAATATCGATAGGATGCAAGTCTTTAACAATAAAGTTTGTAATCGCAATTGTCATGTCTTTCGCACGTTTACTGCTAGCTGGTAATTTAGCTAAAATAGGCATACGAGGTTTCTTAATTTCTCCTGAGTTTTTCGATATTTTTTGACATTTATTTATGTGAGCGGATAGATTAGACGTGTTACCTGAATATGCTACTCGTGCATCACACACTCGACACCAAACCGTTTTCTTGTCGATCTGTACTCCACAGTCGTCTACTTCGAAGCCGAAATGCTTCCAGACGCTGCTTCTCTTTGAATTTGGCGTTACCAGCTTCCTACTCATTTCTCTAACTCTCTAATCTCTTTGTTGGGTGTACACAAAATGGTTGTTTCGACAGAAGGAAAATTCTTCCGAGAATGATAAGGGAAGCACGAGATCGATAAACCCGATATGATATCGATATCCTAGCTACAAAGTAAATATCGATTTTCTAGTCTGGCTGCGCAGTGACCTTCTGTCCTTTATTACACAATTTTCGAGTAATAAATTAATATAACGATAATAAATTTTATTNGGTTCTTCAAAAACAAATTTTTTCAAATAAACTTTTATACTTTTTTATTTCAATTTATATTGTATTTAATGTATAATGTAATTTATTCTTAATTTTATATAATTGTTGTCTTTGTTTTTATGTATATTTGTTAACTTTGGGGTAGATATCAACTGTCCTTCAAGACTTTTCTATTTACTTGTAAAAATAAATAAATGATGTATGTAATATGTATAAATATGTTTGTTAATTACAAAATTGTTTTTTTAACTTGTTTCTTAAAAAAATATTATTTAAATTTATTGGTATTTTGCTGTGTTTTGCTGGAAATTTGATGTTTTGGTGAGAGTCAATATGTTGAATAAAAAGTCTATTAATTGATTCGTTTTTTGAAACCGTGTTTTCGTATTTATTTACTATTGAACACAAGACTGTGTTATTAAAACACTTGGCGTTTATCCACTTTATTCAGTTGATACGGGCACTTTTACACGTTTCGGGCATATAGCCCCTTATCAGTCAACTGATAAGAAGAAACATTTACATTAGATTATTACATTTTGTAAAAATTATATAACGATTCTAAAACATGTAACTTTTAAGACATACCATTAAAAATGCAATGACACTCGTACAGCACAAGTTATTATTCACTGCTGTTAGGATAAGTTGATAACATTGATAACATAAACCTACATACATTAAATTAAAAAATAAAACGCTGTATAATTGGGAAACGTGTAAAAGTGCCCGTATCAACTGAATAAAGTGGATAAATGCCAAGTGTTTTAATAATAACACAGTCTTGTGTTCAATAGTAAAAAAAAAGTCTATTAGTGTTGACTGAAACTCTTGCATGTAACATAAAGTTACATGTCCAGGGACTTTGCATGGTGATAACTGTGTCAACATTTGACCTACTTGGCAAATTCTCTATGTGAGCTCTGTGGGTCTCTGGAAAAAATCCAATGTCAAATATTTTGGATGTAGCAGGTTTTTTTTAACATCTTGAAATATCAGTCTATAGATTTATATGAATAGGTCATTTCAAGAAGGCTATACCAAAATCCACTTAAATATTATTGTACATACATTGATGATCACATAATCACAATTGTTAAAAAACTGGCAGCTTTTAGAAGTTTAATTAAAAGAGCTTCAACTTACTTTTCATTGATTAATGATGTAAATTCAGTCTAACGTAACCATTAACTACAACTTCTGTAAAACACATATAATGTATTTTTATTAAGTAGAAAGTTATGATATCAAATAGTATTTACTAACAAAAATATTGTTGATTATTGTAAAACCTATAACTCTTATATCTGAATTTTTTACTATATTACTAAACAGAATCTTACTGTTGCAGATATTAAATGATTTATATTATTTTTGTCAAATTTTATCTAAACCAAGAATATACATAATAAATTGATAAAAAATTGTATTTTTATTATGCATCTTTGACTTGATATCCTTTATTCTCCTATTTGTAGATCTGTAAAAGAATTACTTAAGAGCAGTGCCAAACATTATGTCAGTGATTTTTGCTTAATACGTCAAGCAATATGTGAATTTTATTTTTTCTCGCTAGATGGCAGAACAACTTTTCCACTAATTATGTTAATTTTTTATAGCATACATTAACTGTAAAGAATCGTGTATTTAACAACAACTATACTGAACTTCCTTGTATTTCAGTACGAGGTCATGAAGCTTCTATAACACTGTTTTTAATCATGGTGATATGTTTAATTAACAAATGAGGAAGAAACCAGAAGAAGCTTGCCAAACTAAGCAGTCAATAGCTGAAGTTCATTGGTTAATACCGAAGTTGATTCTTTCCATAGACGGATTGTAGAGATATTATTACAACTAACAAATATCTCTTCATCATTGCATTAAAAAGTTCAGTTGAAAATCTTCACAATACAGTAATACCGTGGACTTACGCGATAGGTGGGACCGAGCGATAACCGCGTAAGTCGGGGCATAATTTTGCAACTTGTGTGAAATACAAGTTGGATGTATGTAAGCTAATAAATGTTCTCATTAATCTTATCTCGTCTTTTGATTCATTCACGGTTACAAGAAATCACCACATAAAGTCTCTCAAGTCACCTTAGATATAACAAACACAGAAATCAATAACACAGAATAAATTGTAGCTATGCGTCGATTCCACTTGACACGTCCAAACACATAAGCTGAACAATAGTGTGGGGGGAGTGAGTAATCAAGAGTTGCGTGGTACTCAAACAAAAGACGAATTGACGAGATTTGAAAATCGCGTAAGTGTTTTCAAATCTTGAAAACACTTACGCGATTTTAATCATTATTAATATCGATTTTAATCATTATTAATTTACAGTAATTTATTACTGTAAATTACTAATGATTAAAAGATTATAAATTATAAATCAGGTTATAAATTTGTTAATTTAGCCATTAAGTAATGAAGTTTTATATTTGAAACAGGCATTTTAAAAAATAAAATTGATTGAATTTTGAAATTAACATTTACAAAATTTTAAATTGTTCATTTAAAAAAATATTATATTTATATTTAATAATTTTTTTTCAGTTCAGAATTTTAAATAATGCATATGTTTTTATTGTTGTTTTTCTAATATTTGATTTTAAATTGCTGTTCTTTGTCTTTGAATTTATTATGTTTTATGTGAAATTTATATATAATACAAAGTTTTTTCCCTCTATAAAATTTAGTATACAAAATTAGTAAAAAAATTTTTACTGGTTTTTGATGTTTGTGAGGTTATTTCATATAACACTATAACCTTAACCAGCATAATATTTATTAGATTGAATATATTTGGCCTATACTGTGACCAACTTTGGGAACATTCTATTATTCTTTCCTGTGATTCTGAAGATAGCCACATAATATATGTAGGTCAAAAATGTTTGATTCGATAAATGTAATGCTTGTTTAGGTTTCAGTGTTACATTTTAGACTATTAAATTGGTAGGAATAAAATTTTATGCTAATAGCACATTCACTATTTGGAGGGAAGAAAATGTTTATTCTGCTATAATGAAAAATTAAATCAATATGTCAATTTAAAATACTTTTATTTTGTTTCTAAGACATTCGACGAAATATAATTTTATGGGTATAAAATATTTTAGCTTGTTAACATTTTAATATTAAGTTTTAAAAATCATGTTTTTGTTTTTAATTTATTTATGAATAATAATAATTAATTAATTGTATATTTTATATATTTAAATCACTCTTTGTACCAATTTAGTTTCTTTATTTTTAGTATTTACAGATCTTAAAATTAAAAATTTCTTTCTTCTATTAGGTGAAAGTGAATTGACAGGGGCAACAAATTTAATGGCCTATTACAATCTAGAACATTCCTATAACAAATTCTGTGGTCGAAAAATGAAGGATCAATTAAGTGCCTTCTTACCAAATTTACCCGGAAATATTGACATTCCTGGTCATCAAGATAACAGGTAAATAAATATACAATTAATATTTACTTAAAATGACAAAATTACACTAATAAGTATCTACCAAATCATTCAGCATCTACATTGATTTATTCTTATCTAATGATTTTATAAAGATTTTTTTACAGTTTATATTTTCACTGTTCAATTAAAATAAACCCATTTCAGATATTAGAACAAGCAGGCCACTTCTGTTTTATCTCATTAATAATTCTTTCTGTATTTTGCAAAATTATTCTAATTAATAATGTTTCTTTCTTATATTTTTATAATTAGAACATTTTAATAATTTAAATAATTAAAACCATTGATGGAAGATGAAACTTAATTATTTGACATTTGAAATAGTTGATATTAAGTATAAATACTTAATGTTTTCAAGAAACAATTACTTAATCAATTAACTAAATTGAATTTAAATTTATAAAAGCAAATTTGAAAATGTGTTTTAGGCTTTACTGTCTTTATGAATGCAAAAAACTTAAAACATGAAGTTTACATAATACACTGTTGTTAATGTTCAAAATAATAATAATAATAAATTTTTACTATTATTATTACTATTGTCTCACTAGTCACCAACTTGTTGATGTGAGAGCTAGTTTTATTAAATGTATGTAGGGCCACTTATGTCATTTAGGTCTATGAGAAGAAATGAAGCAAAGAATGACTCTCAAGCATCATCTGTATCTACTACATTTTGATCAGAGAATAATTATACATAATAACCTTATCCACAAACAACACTTGAAGATTTTACACAGTAGGTTGCACACAAATAAATCAGCACATAGAAACATTTCTTAATAACTTATAGACTGACGGGTTACACGTGTAAGTTATTAAGAAATGGCAAAGATGCCATTAATGCCTACAACACACCGGGGGGTGTATAGTATACCTGTGAGGGATGACAGATTTTAGAGATCTGGTGTACATTGGTTCAACCAAGCGATCCCTTAAAAAACGGCTAGCGGAACATAAATATGATATACAAAACAAAAAGCAGACCACTGTCCTAGCAATGTACGCTTCTGACACTGGCATAGAAGCTAAACTGCAGCAAGCCAGTCTTATTAGACCACTCTTCACACTGACCAAATCAAAATTTTAGAAGCTCTGGAAATTTTTAAAGTCGAACTAAAGGGGAATGCATCAATTTTAAGGATGAGGTGAGCATTTCATTTGCATGACAGTTGTTTTTTGATGATCTGGACAACATTTATTAAAAAAATGATAAGAAATTAATTCACTTAAGATTTATAAGAAATTTATTGGTTAATTGTTATGTTAAATTTAATGTCAATTAACACCTAGATGTGAATTTTGACATGTACTTGAATATTTACCTTTTCTACCATTTGAAAATATTTATATTCAAATGTTTTGCATTCCAATTATAACAAGCTGACACAGATCCTAAGAGGACCGAAAACGTTTGTCATAACTTATGTAAAATTAAATTATTTTTGCTGGTATAATTTTAAAGGTTTTAGTGGAGTTATTTATTAGTCTGTACACAATGACATATCAACAGAAAAACAACTTATTGATCTGCTCTTTGGTCCAATCAAGTCATACACACTATGCTAATCATGCCATGTGCTTAAATAAACATACACTACACAGTATTCACAATTTCTGGTACAAAAAATTTGTATCTCTGTACAAGAATTAGCCAAACATTTTATACACACAATCAACAATCCACAAGAGAAGGAAATTTTTTAGCATATCACATACATGAAAACCAATACCAGGTTATACATAATAAAGACCAATCATGTGCTTTTCTATATACATACAAAAGCATTCCATCACTAATAACATTTCTAGAGAATACAATGCAACACTGGAGTACAATACTATGCATGGATATTTCATTTGTTTTGAGGTGTAAGGCAAGGCGTTTTCCAGGAAAATTCGTTAAGTCCGTTCTGATTTTGCCCGGTCTTGAACCCATTGTCTAATAGGTAAAACAACAATAACTATGGATTCAACATCAAATACAACAGAACATACATAATACATATCATCTCATCTTGTACATGAATGACTTAAAACTCTATACACTCATTCAAACCCAGCTAAATCATCTATTGGAAATTAGACATTACTGGCATTTGAAATGAAGTTTAGCCTAGACAAATGCAGAATACTTCACATAGAAAAAGGAATTGAGGAAAGATGAGCTTGTATTCAAAAATGGAGACTATATTAAATCCATGGATGAGGGTGAAAGTCTACATATATTAGGATTTCAACCAACTCACAGAACCTGAACAAATCACAGATCAACAAAAGAATACAACAAAATAGTTGAATGCAATAAATACTTAAACATAATTTGTCCCAGGACTCTCATATCATTCAGAATTTACATTATAGTTGTTCTAATTCTGTGCCTGTCCAAAGAAACACACAAACAACAAACTATAACAATACCACCCTAGATCCTAGGCTCATATAAAGGTGTTTTTAATACATTTCTTGAAACTTTGATATGTAATGATATTTTATATATAATTTTCATTTTTAGAATGATTTTTACAATAATTTTATTTCCTAATTCATTTATATATTACAGGTATTTTGTACTTGAATTTGTTATTTTGAAAGTCCTTTTCTCAAAACTGAGATTTATGTATTATATTTTTTGACATTTTTTTATGCTTTCATAGCAAGATGTTTGAAATCTCAGTTCTGGCAATAAGCAAAATACTGATGGACAAATTACATGATCAAAAATACTCTAAATTATAATGTTTAGTTTAACTTGCTTTAAACTTTCAATTATTTATTCCAATAAAGTGACAAATAGATATTATCTATTCTAAAAGCTGATTCAGCAGTATTGTTCAATTAGCAGTCGTTTTATTTAAATACTAGTTCAAAGTTTAAACAACCATTAAAAATATTTTGTTGAAACTTGCAATTGAAAATAGAACTGTTGAAATTGCTTTATTCGACTCTTGGTTCATTCCAATTAGTTTTATTTAAATAGCTGCTAGATAAAATCTGCTTTGACTACTTTTAATTGAATTGAAAGTATTCAAATTCTTTAATAATAATAATAATCAGGTCAATTTGAGATATGTGACTTAAATTAAATAGTTTTATTCAATCAAAACTATTGTCTCATTTGTTGAAAACTTCATTAAAAGTATTTAAATGAATATAATTTTTTAAATACTTTTAATTTACAATTTTAAATAATTAACTGGACGTAGCCCATACTGAAAGGAGCAAGGTAGACTAGTCTGTATTCAATCAAGAAAGTTATAACATCGTCCACTAAAATCAACTCAAATTTCATCTCTCATTTGAAGGTAATCGTTTTTTAGATATAATAGAAATTAAAGATGTGATAAAAATTTAATATTTATCATCTAAGTACACATGTAATAATGTACAGTATAATTTATTGCTTAAATAAAAACAGCAATGCACTTTACAAGTACAGTAGAACCTCGATTATCTGGACTAATTGGGGATGAAGGTAGTCCGGATAAGGAAAAATCCGGATAATCGAAACAAATACTTTAATTTGTCTTTTAATGATAATACAATACGTTTTGTTTTCGATGACATATCGGTAATATTAAAAGTAAATACTGTATTTAAATCGTGATCAAATTTTCAAGAAACAAACGTTCGTATTGAATTTGGACTACTACTGACCAACGCTAACAGACTACCTATTGTTTAAAAGGCCCTCTGGTGGCGCAAGAAGACGGATTTTATAAAATAAAAAGCAGTTGAAACTGCATTTTTATGAATAAAAATTTGACAAACTATTTATCGTTTTATGACGAGTAAAATTTTTTCGTCGCGTTCGCGGCTTTTAAGTAATGCATAAACCTTCGAGGCGCGAGGCCCTTCGGACCGCGAGGCATAGGCGGTGGCCCACGTCGTCCATGCCTTACGCCGCCCTTGGTCATAGAAATGATGTAATTTGAATATAAATTATTTATAAATACGTATGTCAAGTTATATTTTTATTACTACGTAAAATATATTTAAGAGTTTACGACCACTGTGCTGGGTGAGACGTTGTTGAAACAAAAAAAGTTATGCATTCCATCACATACATAAACAGTATCGTAATTCGCCAAGTGCAAATCAGCAAATTTGTAAAATTTTTGTTTATTTTGAACAATCCGGATAATCGAAAATCCGGATAATGGAGGTTCTACTGTACATTGAATATAAGACAAAAGATCACATTTATAAGCCATCAAGTATTCATTTTTTTTTCTTCTGTCATTTCTTATGAACTAATTGAAATTTATTCAATTACTTTTTATTTGAATAAAGCATTTAGATGTTAGACTACCTACACACCAACCAATGTTGTCTGTTTCTGTCATTGGGCTAGCCCTATGACATAAGACATGTGTAGTATTATAATGTATTGGGTTTTAGTGATGATGTTTGTTAGACATCCATTAAAACTAACCAATTAGTTCAATGGAAGAGTTGACTATTTAAATAGATGAACACCACAAATAACTTGCTGTTGAACTTAAATAACCATTAAAGCCATACTCTGGCTATGTATTGAATAAAAACACGATAATTGACTATTCAATTAGTACAACACTGTGATTCAGAAACAAAATTTTACATGATGACATCATTTACATAGTTGTAGACTTCTCATGAGTAGGCAAGTTCTAATTCAGCATTTTAATACATTTCAAAATTTTCTAATTTACATTTAAATTTTACTTTTCGGTTATCATTTTTGATTTTATACTTTTTTTTCATTGTCCTCCTCGTTTATTTTTGCTCATGCACATAATATAATATCATTACTTTTTCTTCATTTATAAAATAAAAATAATGTATTATAATTATACACATACATGTGTTACATCCATTTATTTTGCTTTTATCGAGTGTGAATAGCTTTTTATTTTCATTTCTTTTAGCAATTATAACAATAGGATAGAATGAGAACTGAAAAATTCTTTGTAGTTCATAATGCTTCAAAATTAACAAAATTATGGCTTCCATATTATAAATTGCATTTTTAATTGAGAAATAACGTGTAAACACTTTTATGGTAAGAGATTTTATAGCATTTTATTTCTTATACTGTATATTCAGTATTTAAGTGAAATCAGTCTTATATACAGACAGTCTCCAACTTTTAGCCACATGTTCCTAAAAAATGTCTGTAAAATTAGAACATACAGAAGTCAAACAATAGAGTTGTATGTTATAAAGGAAGTTTTGTCCTTAGAAAGCTTAAAAAGAAAAAAGGTGAATATGCTACAATACATAATTTTATTTTTAATGAAAAAATTGGTACAATTTCATCTATGGTTTTATTTGTTTTCCTGATAACTTTGATGTTACTGAAATTAAGACTGAAATAAAGTGCCACAGCATGATAGCTCAAAATTGTTTTTATTTTTTATTTGTTTGGTCAGATAAAAGTGTACAAAAGCGAATTTGACATATGAAAAATAATTTAGGGATATCAAAAGGCATACACAAAACAGCAAGTTGTCTGAAAGCTGAATGATTATATTCCATTCTTTTTGAATATTAATGATAGTTACTGTTTGTAAACTAGAGAGAGAAATATTTTTATAAATGTATATAGATTACTATATGTAATTTTATTCTGTGTACTTTTCGTTTTTCATATTTTTTATTCTGATCATATTTAACAAAGTTATGAAATTATATTAATAAAATATTATCATCAATAATTGCTGGAATAATAAATGAATAAATTTTTGTTTCTTTATTATTATTAGTTCCTTGCGTTCTCTCATTGAAAAACCTCCAATTGGTGGAAAAGAGTTGTTACCATTGATGGGAGCTCAGTTAACAGGATTCAGGCTGCATGCAGGTCCTGTAAGTAATACTTTTCATTTATTTTCACTTCCTCTTTGATTAATATTCTAATTAAATAAGTTTAGATACAAAATGAATATTTAAATCTAAAACACAGTTGACAATTTTAATTTTATTGTATATAAAATGACATTCATTCTAAGATAAAAAATTAAACACTTTTGTTAAACTGATATGTATCATCAAATATTCTATTCTTTAAAATTTAATTTCTAATATTTAGATTAAATTCATTAAAGCATACACCTATAATTAGGATAAAATTTTAAATAGTTTGGAATTTTAATTTACTCTTCTCTATGGAGAATATCACATATTGTACAGTATCAGAAAAAGTTTAGTTCAGTGTGTGTACATGTATACAGAATGCCCCTTAAATCATGCACTATAGACAAAATGAGTGTTCAGATGATATGTTTGATCTGATCGTTGTCTTGTTGACACACAGATTTGAATTGGCAATCCAATTGTGAGTTTTGGCTGACCTGAGTGCTCTTTGTCTACCACTGATCTGGTCCTCTTAAACTTTGCAGCCATTTGTCCAATAATGATATACGAAATTGGTGCTGGCTAAAGGTGTTTGTAGGTGAACTCTTCTGCTACCTCCCTGGCCGACCAGTAAGATGACATCGATGTGTTCATTTTTCATCAGCATTGTTCTGAAATAAAAATCAATTACATTATGGTTTTCATATGAAACACCTTGTATATTAAATAAACTTTACTCCTTTATGAATTTATTAAATTAAAAAATAGAATATCATTATTGTAAACTTACAAATAAAAATGTATTTTCTGTTAAGATCACAATATAACTTTACATATTAAGTTGAGAATTGTAAAGCAAATCTTCAAATGATAATTTTAAAAAGTCAATTGAATTTAACTTTTTAATAATAAATTTTTTATTCTTTATACAAAATTCTTTTGACATTTGATAAGAAAAAAACCTCATAAAACTAGTAATGAATGAATACAGAATAATGTTCATTAATGTATATATGTTTGTGTATATTATATATATGCACATAACCTGCTCAAAAATACTGTCACAGACAAAAGAATAGTTTCTCAAGAACAAAATAAAATTATTTAAAATAATCCAAAAACTTAGTAAAATTTGAAAACCTCTCCAAATTAGCCAAAACTGTTCAGTATTTTTGTTAATACTGAATCTTTCAATATATGTTTACTTCACCTCTATCGTACAATGCTTTATTTTCAAAATCTCCATAATCAATAAAAAAGATATTTTGGATATGTCTAACCTTAACCTATCAAAGAACTTTTGTTCGGTTAGTGTAAAATTATTCAAAGATTATATTAAATAAAAAATTGATGCTGAAAATTATTGTTTAGTATCGTATTCTAAACAGTAACGAGAGGTGATATCGCAACCTCCTTTAATCTTGGAGTAGCTATAAATATTCATCGATGTGGCATGCAATCACAAATGTCTACATTTTTCTGTTAGAAAAGAACCTAATTAAAACGGAATTGCAAACAATGACATCTGCTTAGGTTTTTTAGGATTTAGAGATCATAAGGAATTACTTTCTGTTTAGAAAGGGCCTTTGTAATATTACATATATAATGTGAAGTACAGTACCTATCAGGCAATGGAATATCATGATAACGAAAATTATTTCTACTGTATTAATAATAATTTGTTTATTTAATTTTGTGTAATTTGTTATTTAATATAGATCAAATAATCTAGAGGCATATAAAATGATCAGTTTCAAAACAATGACATTGATGCTTATATTTATTAAAAAGATTTATATTAACATTTAAATGTTTAAATTAAGAAGCACTTCTAAATTTGTTTGACTAGAACAAAATGATCAGACCACTGGGAAATATGTAATAATAATGATCATTTAAAAATGTTACATCCAACAAAAAGCTCCTATTTTAAATATGAGATTTATAAGTGCAATACTGAATGTATTCATTAATTTTTTGTAATTTAATTTATTATCATAATATATATAACATGAACTCATGCCAAACAATTTCTGAATTATTGGACTGTGTTAACCTGATTTAACTGATTAATGCATCATTGTGAGTTGTTATTGTATTCGAATTAAATATTTTATGAATACACATGAATTCTGTAATTTGAACTTACAGAATATACATTGTTATTGAATTTTAGCAGTAGTGATCAATGAAACTCACAAACATACCAAAATTTTAAACTATGTACATTAGTTTTGAAAGAAATAATATGTTTATTTTAAAAAATTATTACAATGACAACTTGTTGATGTAATTACTTTTAAGCTTACAGATTATTCTAAGAAGCATATTGAAATTGAAGGCACTTTCAGTAGAAAAGCACAATTCACTGACAAAAATGACAGTATTTTAGTTTTTATCATTGTTATTTGAACAAATTAAGCTTTTTTTGTAAAAAAGTTTACTAACAGTCAACAGAAAATAATATCATCATTTGCTAAATCTTAATATGGTGCAATACATTTTACAGTATACTTTAATTATAAGATGGGACATGGTATTGGAAGTAATTTGATTTTCTTTGAATGTGAGCAAAATGGAAATTTAAAAAAAACCTGTTATAACATTACATCTTGAATACATACCAATTTTACCAGGTTACTCCCATTCAATTTAAAGATCAACAAAACTGATTAAAGTTACAGTTTTGTTGCTGCAAGAATTGCCATTTCTTAACCCAACATTTTTGACATCTTTTTGCTCATTAAGTTTTTATGAAAAAATAAAATAAAACTGGTTAATTTTATGTTTTGACAATTACAACTCTTAATTACTACCAGACGATCTGCTGGATTGTATTCGGCTACATTTAATAATTAGATACAGAGTAATTTTGCCCACAGTAGGTGATTAAGTTGCTATCTCATTATTTATATTTGATTATTTTTTACAAATATCTATAATGTAACCTAATATCATCCAGCAGATCATTTAGGTATTAATTAAGATCAGTTATTTGATGTTTATGTTTGTATACTTTTAATTATTGAAAATTTCCAAAATGTAATAAAAAGTATATTGTTCTGTAAGTTTAATATAAATAGGGTACTAGTTAACTTACATTTTTTAATATTTTTCAGTTACCCGAACAGTATAGACTGATGAATCAGCAACCTCAGAAAAAGAAACACAAACACAAAAAGCATAAACACAAGGCTGGTGAGATGCCTTCTCAAGAATCTCAACAAGGTGGTAGTTGTGTATCTTTTTATTTTAAATTAGTTTTCATATATATTTTACAACTCTAACATATTAAAATAAAATGCATATATCTTAAAAGCTTTTTCAAAATAATTACCAAATAATATATAATTGGAAGAATAGGATGACCCTGTAAAAGTAAGATTTCACATTATATTTTGGAAAGATTGCTGTAATTTGCTGTGTAAAGATTTTTGGGGAAAAGGGTTAAGATTGCTGTGATAAAGCAAAAAATATTTATTTAAAAAATGTTATGTAAAATGATATATACAGTACAATATATAATGTTGAGTTTTATTCATTTTTAACAGTTATAAACTCAGAAACAATTGCTAAATTGACTGGAAAATGTGTAAAATTAAATATTTTGGATACAAAAATACTTACTTTAAATAAAATAGCTTGGAGAATAAATATTGATAGATCTACTGCTAGAAAGTTGAGGATAATATGATTACAATTCACAATTTAAACTTTTTGGTACCATCTATATTTTGAATTTAAAGACTTCTTTTTAAGTTAGAATTTACTGCATTGATATTCGTTGACTGACTTATTAATTACATAATTGCTTACCAAATATAAAATATTCTTTTAATTCTTTTAAACTAATAAAAAGACAAGTTTTTAAACATATTTAAATAATAGAAACTCTCAATATCATTGGAATAAAGAATGATAGCATACTTATTCACTTGCAATAATAAAATAAGCAAAATATAATGTATAGAACTTATTTATCAGATCCAGTTTGAATGTCATATATGGTTTTAGATTTTTAGAAATTTTTAAAAATATCTTAATGTTAATTTGTTTTCCTATTTTTGGAATATATATATTTTTTAGACTAATATGAAATTTTAATTTTGTAAGTCATTTTGGTATTCCTGTCTGCAATTGTTAAGAAATGGATTAATCTCAATGCAGAGATCTGCTATTTCAGAGATTTAAAAATTTTCACATTACAGTTAGCTATGTTAACTGTACATTGATTTTGTGTAATTAATTTGTTCTAAAGCATTGGAAATTGAAATGTTCACAAAGAATTGTTATTTCCCACTCTAAATGGTGATTTTTTTTTATAATGGAAATATAAAAAAATATTTATCATACTTTAAAACAGAATTAAGATTACCTAAAAAGCTTGCATTTGCATTGCTAATTGGCTTATCTACAATCCATGCTTATGATAAGTTCTGGTTTGATGTATGGTATAGCACGAATCTATTGTTGTCTCTTCAGATAAATATTTTTGTATACAGTTGGCACAACAGTAGAAATAATGACTTTACACTAATCTGATACATTGACATTGTGCATGCTGTAATTAGTGGTTTTTATGGATTGTTTTTGTCTTTGTATTGATTTTACTACTAATATATGAGGGGATGTTAATTTATTACTATAGATGAATTGCTGAGTGATTTCATATGTATTGATATAATATAATTCAAAAACAGTATTATTATTGTGTTTGTGTTCTACAGAATTTTTTTAATGATTTAGAAATCGTTTCTATATGTTAATGTTTCATAGAAAAAAGAGTACTAATTATATTTTATAAAGAAATTTTTATGTACCCAACTGATTCCTATTAATGTTAAAATTAATTGAATATTATTCAATTATTAATATTATTAGCAGTTATATATGATGCTTTATTGAAATTATTTAGATGAATGAAAAGATTAACAGAACAGTAAGAGCATTGACAATCTTTTATCTTTGTTTACATCTATTATTTACTTCAAATAATTCTGATTATTAGATTTATTATGGATGTCACTCATTTGATGTAATAGTTCTTTTAAGAATTCTGTTGGTATTTGGCATATATTTCTATATTGGAAATCTTATAAGATAATGTTTTTATGTGGATAAGAGATGCTAAAATTCTTTTTCTTTTCACTGTAAGTTTGAGAATTTTATTATAGCATTTCTAATTTTCAATGATGATGACTAATTTATTACAAATTAAACAAATAAAAGATAATATTTGCTATTGTTTTAGAGTTTAGGTGTAGAGAAAAGCTTTCATTTACAATAATTTTAAGTAGAAAGAATCAGTTACATTCTGTTTTAAATAATATTTGTTAAAAAACAAGCAATTTTTGAATTAATTTTAATAATTATGATATATTAAAAGTTGTATCACTATGTATAATGTATTTCCTAATTTATTTTGAACACTAAGTAATGAAAAATTTCTGTATAGATTCTGCAACCGATAATACTCATGAGAAGAAGCATAAGAAACAAAAACGCCATGATGAAGAAAAGGAAAGGAAGAAGAAGAAAAAAGAAAAGAAAAAGAAAAAGGTAAAATTCTAGATTTTCCATTAAAAAGATATGATTTATGCTTCTTTTTCTTAATTCATAAACTGTTGAAAAAAATTTATACATTTATAGCTTTTTCATTGAATTTTAACCTAATTATCAAAATCAAACTTCTGCAACAAATTCCTAGGCATCATAATCATCTAATGTGAGATAATCTGCAAGTTAGGGGGTGGTTACTCTAAACCAGGGGTCGCCAAAGTTGTCGATATCGACCCCGCCAGAGGTCAATATAACATTATTGGGAGTCGATTATCAAGCTTAAGCTAAGGATCAAGCTTATCCGTCTCACTGATTATCAGTTACGAAAATTATTAACAAATATATAATAAATGAAAAAATAAAAGCAAAATTAAAAGAAATTATTAAAATAGTAAGTATTTCGTTTTGCTTGTAACAAACTTTTTGGTGGGGGTCGATGTGAGGTTTCGAAAACTTGTAGGGGGTTGACAATCAAAAAAGTTTGGCGACCCTTGCTCTAAACCTTGTATGGTGTCTTGCTCTCGATGGTTAACTAGGAGGGCTTTATGTTGAGTAGGAGGGTTCAATGTGTTCGTTGATAGGCGTTCGGTCTTAAGATAATATCACTCAACTTCCAATTAACAAATAATAGAATGTTTAATAAACTAAGAGAAACAAAGGATAAATACAATTGACATAATATCTAGGTTGATGGCCTAACCAAATACACCTCTAACTCCTTACTACCGAGACAGAGTTTCCAAGCAATTTTATAATACCTCAGGATGTTAATGTCTTCAGTCCAGTCAATGTTAGGAGAATCCATTCAGTTAATGAGACATAGATGGGTTGGAAACAGATGGGCCAGAGCTAGGATATGCTTTCTACTTCTTGGACCATCTACAAGTACAGATGCCATATAGACTTCCATGTAGTTCTTTTATGGCATTTTCTTTCTATTGCCATCTGCCCTGGGATTGCAATTTCTCCCCTTTTTATTCTAAGTTTTCTCCAATCAGCCATTTGAATTTGTATCATCTGACAGGACATACAGATGAATCAAATGGCCATTTGATTCATCACAAATTTTAACAATATCTCACCAAAAGAAATCCACAGTCAAAAAAAAAGGAAGTTAAATTTCCCCCTTTCTCACAGAATTAACAAAACTGTGTCGTTTTTAACAGACAAAATATTACTTTAATTAAATAATTGTAAAACTTAGTCTTCAGAATCTCACACTAATAATAAACAGTTTCTGAATTAAGAGTGGGCATTTTATTTTTCATAACACATTTTTGAACCTATGTTCAGTCATCCTCAGGATCACTTGTTCTTAGATAGAATGTCAGTTAAAATTTTAAATATGTTTTTACAATTTGTTTTCTCCATATTGTTAATTAACATTTTCCACAGTTGCAGTATACCGTATGCATTGGCTGTATTTATGATTGTCTGCATTTCCAAAAGATTAGAATAAATTGGAATAAAGCAATGCTGTTAAGATGAAGTAACAGTAAAGTCTTACTCTAAGAGTCTTATTGGTAGTATATTTTAATCTCCCATTATGCAAAAGCAATGGAAAGATGGATAGCCCATGCAGTCAAGAATTTGTAATAGTCTAAGATTTTCTTCAGTTCATACACTATTGTAGGTTTAGATTTGTGGATATATGTAATGGGTTATACATTTTATGAGATACAAGCAGAGTTTACGCAAACAATGTTCTATGGAATCCTTGTTGTTCCTAATCTAATGTTGAGATGCTAGTTTTGTTTGCACATAACTTACTGTGATTTGAATTTATACAATTAGAAAAATAATCTGAAGTTGCTATTATACTTTAAAAATACACTGACATTCTGTTAGCTCAGTATCATAGGGACTGATGCAGTGCCAGATTACCGACTATGCCATTTTACCGACTGTGCCATTTTACCAGATAGTGGAATTTAGCTGGTTTTTTTTAATCCTCTGGACACAATTTTATATATCTTTCATAAAAGACAGATTTGTACAGTTTTACATGCATTGTTTAATATGCCATTTCAAGTTTTCTAGGCTATTCCTACCCTAGGTTGCTTGAAACAAGAACACTATTCTTACTTTGTATTTATATGCAATAAATGTGTACAAAGCACAAACAAACAAACTATCAAAGTACATGAACAGTAGTGTATAGTAGGTGTTTTTATGATAATTATTGATCCCAAGTGTGCTACATACTTCTGCTTCTCATATCAAACTCCTGCACTAATGTCTTTGGAAGAGTGTTTAGAAACATCATGCATGATTTTTCTAATTAACTGGATTTACCTAGCACAGCATCATGTTATCTCTAAAAGGAGAACTTCCATACCTTTTCAAGAACTGCATGTTTTAAGTGCTTTAACATGAAAATCTTAACTCCAGACATACCCAGTGCACTGACAACTTGTCAATCTTGTTAACATAATTTCAGTGTTTTTAATTTAAGATTAAAATGTATAATTTGGATCTGTTACTTGAGGAAATGGCTAATAATCAACTTTGTGATGCCCCTCAGTTTTGACTTTTGAACTATTCTTCCAATGCAAAATGATCTTATACCATAAGGACTAGAGAGAAACGATGTCCCTACTTTAACTATTCACAAGAAATGACTAATTTAAATTAGTTTTAAACCTGGATTCTAACTGCATGTTATTTGTTGTATTTTTAAATGACTAAGCCAGTTTGTTTTTAGATATTTTCATTATTTCATCAGCATCAGTCCCTATGATACTGAGCTAACAGAATGTCAGTGTATTTTTAAAGTATAATAGCAACTTCAGATTATTTTTCTAATTGTATAAATTCAAATCACAGTAAGCTATGTGCAAACAAAACTAGCATCTCAATATTAGATTAGGAACAATAAGGATTCCATAGAACATTGTTTGCATAAACTCTGCTTGTATCTCATAAAATGTATAACCCATTACATATATCCACAAATCACCTTAGCCTTTCTAGTACTTTAAAAAAAAATAGCAATTACATCCAAAAAGAAGCAATTTTGTTTTGTTTCTATTGCAACACATGTATATCTATTATTTGATAGACTGTTATTTCTAAAATAAATTAATTTGAAATGGTTTTTTTCTGGGAAGGAATTTTTCATTAAACTTTAGATTCAAAAACATTAACTCCTTAAGCCAATTAGAGTTAACTTTAAAAATTGATTGTAACTTCTTAGGTTATGCACACTGTCACCAGTAGATGGCATTAAAATTTTTCTGTGCTTTTTCTATTGGAAAATCCGTTTTCAAAAATTCTCAAACAGAAGTAAATAGAACTAATCTAGTTCCATTTTCCCACAGAAAAAGCATTGAAAAGCTTTAATGCCATCTGTTGGAGATCATGGGCATAATCAGCCTTAAACATACATAGATATATTGTGATTCTAGTTAATACTTCATGTATTCTTAATGAAAAAAACCTCTGAAACAGTCAGTAGCTTTGGATATTGAATTAGATATAACTTGATACCTATACAATGAACAATAATAAAAACTCATTCTAGTATAGTAAATGTTGACAAAAATTCATAACTTTTAGCAGACAGCTATCAATTACTAAAATTACAATTTGTTTTAATATAATTTTTTTCAATGAAGCACTGATTTATTTATAAGTTATACATTTTATTATGAATCCACGCATGTTAGAGATTCTGAGTAACGTGTATTACATTACCATTATGATGTTATACGTTGACATTTCTGTTTTTGCTAGAATTGGCATATACTTGAAAACTTTTATTTTTTTTTCTTTTAGTGATTGTGATTTATCATGAATTGTAACCTGCAGTCTGAAAAGCACCTTTTAGTAAAATTAGAATTGTTCCTCTTTATTTTGTATTCTTGTCTTATTTTGCTTATAAATGTCAAAACATATTTGTAATGTTTTAATTTTGTACACCTTTTACATTTTATTAAAATACATTATATTTAAATAGGTACACAAATGAAAAAGTTAAAAAATCTACATGTATTATTGTTAAAAATTTAATCCAAAACAACATAAATAATGCATTACAGATTTTATAATTCTGTTTTGGTTTAGTGCAACAGTGTGCACATGTAGCAATAATAATAAAGGTTTGTAAACCTTTTTTGAATTTTTATCTTTATAATAGTTGCCTACATGTTTTGACATATCAGTTTTTCTCAATTGATAGTTTGTTGACTACTTGGAATTTATTTTATTTATTATTAAATACACTAGGAGGTGGTCTAAAAACACAATTAATGAATTAATCATTTTCTTTTTGTACATAGAATAAATTAACGAAGGATGTAATGTTCTTTGTTGAGAAGTGGTCAACTGTTAGACAACTTCTCAGCAAAGAGTCAATTGAACCATAATTTTTTTACATAATTAATAGTTTAAAGTTATGCATTCTTTATTATAATTTACAGAAGCTTGTCTAATAGTCTTATGATGGGATGCATATGTAAAATTATTTATACATCTCTCAAGTTTTTTAACTACTGATACAAAAAAAATTATACTTAAATAACATTGCATTACTCTGTACATTTAAAAATAAAAATATGATTAATAAGGTGCTTCCTCACAAAAGAAAACAAGAAAATTATTTGTTTGTCTTCAAGTTAGCAAAACCAAATAAAAATGTATTATAATTTGATGGTGACTTGTGAGTACAGTGGATATGTTCTGAATTATTTTTGGTCTTCATAAATTACATTGTATAGTTTCTAATTATTTTGATTTGTCTAGTCAAACCGCTTTTTTCAATGGAAATTTTCTTATCTGTTTGGCATAAAAATGACAACAGAATGAAGCAATAGACTTGACACAAAACATTGCACTTTCCTGGGAATTTACTTTATGTGCTAATGTGGTTAGTTACCCATTCAACTGCATTTCCGAGGAAACTCATTATGGTCGTCACAAAACGCAACACTGTTTGTAGTCCCAACTAATAGAAGTGCATGGATATTAATGGAAAAATAAAATATATTTATTAGCCCGCCTGGCAACTTCCTAAGCAGACGCTTCACTGTATGCATGATAATTTATCAAACAAGGTTAATGCATTAAGTTTTTGAATCAGTAACTATGTTGTGATGGAATTTTTTAATGAATAATAATATTATTATAGTAGTTCCAAAGCACATTTAAGGGTCTTATCTACCTTTTAATAATAATTTCAAAAAAATTCCATATTTTATCTTGTAACTCCCTAAATAACTAGAAACATTCCATTATAAATTAAATTATTTTAAAATAATCTTTACAATTTATCATCATCAACTCTGCTTGTATCTCATAAAATGTATAACCCATTACATGATAGTTACTGTTTGTAAACTAGAGAGAGAAATATTTTTATAAATGTATATAGATTACTATATGTAATTTTATTCTGTGTACTTTTCGTTTTTNTATCTACCTTTTAATAATAATTTCAAAAAAATTCCATATTTTATCTTGTAACTCCCTAAATAACTAGAAACATTCCATTATAAATTAAATTATTTTAAAATAATCTTTACAATTTATCATCATCAAAGAAAGATTGTGTTTCTTTGATGATAAGTCACACTCCCAGTAATGTTTCTCATTACTGGGAGTATGAATAAGTTTCCCTATATTAAATAATATCCCCAAAATAAATTACTTGACTGTAATAACACAAAATTCAGTCTTTGTAATAATTTTATAGCAATATTTTTCTATGATAATGATCAATAATTTACATCACACACTATGAAAAGAATTGATCATCATTAAATGTAATATTTTTAAAGGAAATGTTTAACACAATATCCCTAATGTAATTGAGCACTTCAAGGATACTTACCAGTAGCTTTAATACATTCACTAACCTAATTACAATGTATTTTTTTTTACACATTGTGTGCAAAATAGAAAATTTGTCCTAAGATATCCATCAACTAAGTTAATAGTCTTATACATTGTGCATTCATAATATCTAAAGGATAAATATTTATTTTGTTCAGCTTTTTTTCTAAATTTCAACTGGGTGATCTCAATAAATCTAAAGTACTAAGTCTTATTAATACATAATATACTTCGACTAATGGATCAACTTTGCTATGATGATAAACACGATATTCGGCTTATTGCAGCTAATCGTGTGAAGTTGTGTAATCCAAAACATTAATTTTCGTTGGCAGTGATGAACTAATTCTGGAATAAGGAAAATTTTGGTTTCTTAGTTAATTTAATCATTACAAAACAAGGAAATTTTTGAATATTTTTTACCATATTAATTTTTTTCTATTTTGCAGCAGAAGCACAGCCCAGAAGGAACCGTAGCTCCCGTCAACTCCCTCCACGCTAACGGTACTCAACGAATATTATAACTACTTCGCGACGTGTAAATAATACGCCTTTAAAAGCATTCACGTGTTCATATGTATAAGGTATAATATCCCAAACCGTGTACATTTAGTAAATTTTTGTAAAAAAGTTTTTTATTTTTTAGCAATTATTAACTCGAATACTTTTTTATTAACGGAATCGAGACTCTAAACGATCCGCCGTCTTTGCTTTTTCATTGTTTACATGAGACACAACTTAAAAGAGGAAGAGAGAGAGAGAGGATTCACAATACGTTTCTGCCAATAGAAGTCCATTACATTGAATTTTCTGAAACACACTCATCAATCATCATATTATAATTTATAAGATTTGTTAATGGCAACAATTTCACAAAAACATTTTCAACAATTTCCTGATTTTGATAACCAAAAAATAAAAAAACATTTTTGTGCCACAAAATATAATAAAATTGTACAATATTTAAGAAGAAAAAAACCTGACCGTTTCAATGTAAATTATATAAGAAAGAAAGGGGAAAAAATGAACAGTTTGATACCAAAAAGTGCAACTTAATATATTTTCAAAATTGGGGAATTTTATTTATAAAATGGATATTTCCCAATATCAAATATGAATATAATGTAAAGAATTTCATTATGCAACTAAATATATATACATTATATTATATATAATTTTATTATTTTCTTTATTCAATGATATATAAATTATCAAAGGAAAAAAAATTAATTAGATTTTGAAGTTAATTGTTTAAAAATAAAAATAATAATAATAATAATTCACGAAATTCATTGGTAAATAATAGGACTCTGTAAATTATAAAAATATTTTGTTTACTTAGTATATGAAATTTTTGTTAAATTTTAAAATAATATATAATTATATATGTGAATAAATTTTTTGATTTATTGCACAAAATCATTTTGTTTTCCTCATTCAATTTTTAATGAAATCTCACTAACAACACAGGCTCTAAAATCTTAAGTTCCGTTAACAGAATCAAACCCCTCAGACAGACAGATCAACTATTTAATGTAAAAACCAATATACTTATTATGATTTCACTTGAAACAATATGACGCACAACCAAATCAACTTTATAATAATCACTTATTTGGCATGCGACTCTTGTAGGATCATAAAAGGGCTATCTTAGGGTCTTTAACTTAGAGTTAGGTTCTTTGAGTAAGCACTAAGTTAAACTTTGAAATTATATGAAATCTCAGCTACGAAATTTCACAGATTAATATAGTTGTAATGAGCTTACAAACAACCTTAACCGAATGTTTCCTAACTTGTTAAAAAATTAATGATCCAATTTCTGAATTTAGAGACCACTTAGAATATTCTTAACCCATTAAAATACTTTTATAGGTTTGCCCCTGAAACAACAAAAGACAATTACACCTTACATGATTCAACGTTGCTATTCTAGTACACAGACAATGCCACCGTTGGAAACTAAGTTATGCTTTATAGATTAGTTACGAGGCATGTCGATATTTATTTTTTCGAATTCAAATGTTATCGAAATGATTTATTTGAAGCGAGATCCAAGCGTGAAATTGATAAAAAAGACCATATTGATGAGAAAAACAACAGCAAAAAGCAATTATAACATAACATAGAAAGGTATTTTTCATCCCGTCCTTTATAAAAATGATTAAAATCTGTTTATAGAGGACGGGAGAATAAGTTTAGTTGTAAGAAATTAGATTAGGAAGTGTCCTTCGGCCAAATTCTCTATGAATTTAAAAGTGATTTGTCATTTTTAAAAAAATAGAACATTTTTTTAAAAGATTTCCAAGGACAAATCCCAAAATAAATTACTTGACTGTAATAACACAAAATTCAGTCTTTATCATAGAAAAATATTGCTATAAAATTATTACAATGATCAATAATTTACATCACACACTATGAAAAGAATTGATCATCATTAAATGTAATATTTTTAAAGGAAATGTTTAACACAATATCCCTAATGTAATTGAGCACTTCAAGGATACTTACCAGTAGCTTTAATACATTCACTAACCTAATTACAATGTATTTTTTTTTACACATTGTGTGCAAAATAGAAAATTTGTCCTAAGATATCCATCAACTAAGTTAATAGTCTTATACATTGTGCNTGTAAAATTAATAATAATAATAATGTATAGATGAGAATTTTACACGTCCAGTTGCCCTCATTTAAAATTCTAGTGGCACAATTTATAAATCTTTTTAAGTGTACAAACCCTTCAATTAAATGTTTATGAAGTAGAATTTCAAAAATCCCTTTATTGCGGGTTGAATTACACCATTTTATTATTTATTTTTTTTAGTTAATGTAATTTAAGGAGTGGCATTCTAATTATACCACGTTTGGATTTTTATTTATGGACTTTCAACTACGGTGATAAGTCGTGCTGGAACTGATAATTGCATTAATAAAGGTATGCCAATTCATTGTGTCTTCTGAATTTATAGAATAACGTTTAAATATAGTAATTAGGTTCTGTTAAACACGCTCCTAGTAATAAAAAAAAAATAGGGTTTTAAATAGCCGTGTGGAAGTTTTGGCTTTGTAATTTTAAAATATGGCACTAATTAGGAAATCGGAGGAGGAGTAGTAGAAGAAGGTCAATAGCCAAACATTTATTTTTGATTTACAGCGGTGGAATCGGGATGCAGAACAATTACTTTCATTGTCTTTAACGAATATATTTGGCACTCCACAGGAAAAATTTCATGGAGAGAATCACTTCAGGGCGCACGCATTTTTGTTCTAGTGAAATAAATGCTCTTCTTCCTTGACAGGTAAAAGAAAAATAAATTAAAAAAAATGGCCGATTTCCTCGGATAACAATCGAGATGTTTACTTTTTAATCCTTTATCCTTTAAGGGTGCACGAATGTAAGATCAATAATAATTGTTATTGGAGACAATACGAGGCTCCAGATCTGAAAAAAATGCCATTAGGAGTTGTAATTAAATAGGCACGAATGGAGTTAGTAAGTAGGATAAATTTCATCCTTAATATTGAAGGATGGTAATGGAGTGTCTTCGGAGGAGTTCAAGTGTGTTGTAGCACTCTGTGTCAACATTCTTTAGAAACTAGGAAAAGTAGGCGACGAAAATTTATAGGGTCTTTGACACCAGATGAGTAGCCCACTTGACGTAAGACTCCATAACATTTATCATTCCTATGTGATATGAATTCAATTAACTTAAATGAATTTCTAATCTCCAAAACTCCTCATTTACATTTAGACTCTTGGTATATAGAGGATCGCGCGTTATAACGAACACTTAAACAGGATCCTTTGAGAATTCACTATATCGAGGTTATTAATTAATAGGCGATCAACCAAGGGGGGTGCCCCTCGGAGGAATTCTACGGTATTTAGGCGTTTAATGCTTTTATATAACCACTCGGAATTCCTTTCGTTATAACGAGGATACAATGTGACTGGTGTGAACTTTAGTGTCATATTAATTAGTTACGTCCGTACACGGAAGAACTAAAAGATTATAGTTTTTATACTTGATTTAATTAATTAATTAACTATCGGAAGATTTTAAGGAAGGAATAAGGGTTTGGGTAAATGCAAACACTTCCTTAAATAAGTGTAAGAGGAAATTCGTGTGTAGAAAAACGTTAGCGATTTGTGTAGTCTCGAGTTTAAAACGTTAATAAAACGAAAAAAAAGAAGTCGATTTTTACAAATTTTAATTCGATATTTTTAAAAAATCGAGAAGGTCTTTAATTATTTCCTCAGTAGAAGAGGAAATATTAATTGGTCTAGACTCTAGACACGAGTAATGTTAATTTCAGGTGTGTTTGCCAGTTAAAAATGTTATCTCGAGTAAATTACGGTAAAAATAATTAAATTTCCTCATTAAAAAACGACTTTAAAATTGAAATATTTATTAAATTATTTCCTCGAAATGTAAGATAAATGAGGAAATATTAAACTAATCCATGTTTAGAAGTATAAAATTGTAAGGTATAGTCGCCAGTTGAGGTATAAAAATACGCAAAAATATAATTTAAAAAATTCCTCATTTCCTCAAAAAATTCATTTATAAAAGAGGAAATGATTAAAATCTAAAGACGGAGGAGAAAGGTTAATTTAAGTATAGTTACGAGCTTAAAAGTTTTTCAATTATTTTTTAATACTTTATATCTTTCATTTTGAGGAAATTAAGAGGAAATATTAATTAATTTAATTTGTGTTCGGGCAAAGAATAAATCGTTAACAATTTACCAATTAAAATGCTAATAAACAGTAAAAATTAAAAAAAAAAAAAGAGCTCGAAAATTGAAAAATTCTTTAATTATTTCCTCAAAAAATAAGACAAAAGAGGAAATATTTAATATCGAGATAGGATAAAATAGGAAAAAATAATAATAATAATAATCTATGGCTGTTCCAAACAGGAAAAAATCCATTCAAGAGATTGAAATGTTGATTTAATTCTCATTGAATCAATGGAGCCAAACCACGAAACCATACAAAAAAATAGTGAAACAAACACACAATAATCTATTGAAAATTTACTCGAATAATACTTTAAAAACGGGATATTTTTTTAGGAAAAAGATAGAAAATATTGATAAATAATATAAAAATAAATTTTTATAAAGTTCACGAACTTAACGAGTCAAAAAAAGATTACGCACGAGTAGTGTCGAGGACGAAAATGACGGCAGCACTCATTTGAATAATGTAGCAAACCTCCATTTTCTGTCGTCGTGACCTTGTTTTTGGATGTTTCTGTTTATAAAAAGACGGGATGTAATTTTACCATTCGCCATATTTTTTTTTAATCTTAAAAATAGCACGAAATTAATCATAAAATGTAACAGGTTAATTGGCCGGTCGACGAGATAATGAGCTTCGTTTATTAATTAAGTTATCCACACGTGTTGCGAGATAATGGGTCGCGGCAAACTACGCGAAAAAAGGTGTCAAGTGTTAAAATTAATTTTTATGTTTACGTTAAAATTAGCGTGAAATTCGTTTCGAATTTTGTACAAATTTTTACCTTTCTCCCTTCGCGTTAAGTGTGTGAAAGTTTTTGCTCGAGTGTTTTCGTATAATGGGCCCCGGGCTATGTAAAAGTAAGTGTGAAGTTACGTTATAATGAAGTCATTCGTGTAAAATTGTTATAAAATCATACAAATTTTGCCGTTAGATTATGTAAAACACGTAATGTTTATGAATTGATTAACACTCTTGTTGTATCTCTTTGTGCTTGTTTCATCTTTTTTCTGTGCTTATTTCTGCATCTCTCTGCACCTATTTTCGTACTTTTGTGCTTTCTGCTGCATCTCTTTGTGCTTGTTTTCCTATATTTGTGCTTTCTGTTGCATCTTTCTGCTCTTCTTTCTTCTTTTTTGTGCTTTCTGTTGCATCTCCCTGCTCTTCTTT